ATCTAACTTTCCCGACAGCTAAGATATCAAAGAAACAAAAAACTAACTTTAGTTAGCAATAAGATTTTACTTCCATAAGAGAGAGACCACTTTTGAGAAATTTAAATTTTGGGTATCTATTCAAGTACGTACATGAAGTAACAACATTCTTATAGCAACAGAGGACAATTTTTTTCCTTGCTGAATTATTTGCTTGCTAGATACCTGACTAGATTCCTTAGGTTCATTATTTGTGCTCTAGGAAAGAAAATTTCCTTTTAGATGATTCATATGTTTCTGGTTTTCATTTTGAAAGCTTCAGTGACTTTCGTTTTTTGGATTTCCATTTTCTTTATTTATTTGTTTTATATTTTCAACGAATATATGATACAGTTTCCCTATTATTGATTTATTTAATGGCTTTCTTTTCTTCTTTATGTTTTCGATTTTTGAATGGGGCATGAAATGCCAAAAAACTAACTACATGCGCAACCATTTTTGTTCTTATGTATTTTTTAATGCCCAAAAATAAATAAATAATTAAAAAAAGAAACATTCATTTCTACCCAAATAAATTAATCCTCTACATTAAATGATCTCAATTATACTAATGTAAATTAGGCTCTAATTCCTAGCCAATGATTTAATTCTAACTTCTTAAAATTAGCGAATCAGACAGATTTAATTTTCATTCTAACCTATTTGTTCAAACAATACAAGTCAATAAATATCATAACAATCAATAACACTTTCAATCACATAATTAACATGTAGGAACATAATTAATAGTTTCAATTAAGGCTCAATTCAATCACAGTCAATTTCAATAAACTGAATCAATTTCCAATTAAATCTCCCAAATTGCTCTAAAAATTCCCAGATTGTCGATTTTAGTTTCAAAGTTGTAACCTTAATAGGTAATTTTCCAATTTCGATAGATACGCACAAATTAAATTACTAGCCAGTTAGTTCAATTATAAATTAAGACATAATTAATGAAAATCACGATTAGCAGGTTCGAGTCGTCAGAAGAAATTACAAATTCAGACTCACTTTGTAAGACTCCCATTGTCTCATATTAAGACATGCTCAATAGATTCATTGAAACAAGGATAGAACAATATTTTAAAAAATATTTATATTGAAGGGATAGACAAATTGGATATAAAATATAATAGACAAATTGGAAACTATAGCGCAATCCCTACATCTAATACATATTCTACGTTTTCACTAACAAGAAACGTAGAAATAACACAAAGTGGCTTCGAGAAATTGAGATATACTCTACTATTTTGATCTACACTAGAAGAGATGGAAATCATGTCATCGATTGGGATGTTTAGCAACATTCATATTCTCAACTTCAAATAGCTATAAAAACATAGAGCACTCTCAAAAAATGAAAACACCAAAAAAAAACGTCATTAATATCACCCCAAACATTCAACACAAGTTGATTCTATATTACTGGTTAAACATTTAATAAGTTGACATGGTAGAATTAACATATAACCCTTTGATTAGCTCTTGTTAAACATGCATTTATTTCTTCAATTGAAATTGTACTTCTTCGTTTAGCTTGTAATTGTTACTAGCTAAAAAAATTCATTATTGATTTATTGTAAATGTATGCTACACATTTGATAATTAAATGTAGGCGTACTTGAGATTTTAGCTCAAACAATATGAATAACCATTTAGTCAGAACTCGAGAAAGCCTATTTGAAGAACAAGAAGGTATGCTAGATAACTACATCGACATAGTTTGCGTCACCAATATGTTCATAATTAACCAATCGATATTTACCAGCTCGTAAACGTGAACAAAATCGCCAACGTCAACGCGCATACCGTTCAAGACTAATAAGTGAACGCAAGCAACAAATATTACAACAGTGAAGGGAAAATCATCAACAAGCAAAAGAGCAACAATTACGAAATAAAATGATTGAAAATGATAAAGGTATGCAACGTGTTATCAGATGTAATAGGGTTACCAAACCTACAAACCTATTGTCTGACTAGCCTTCGCAAGAAAGAGCCTGACATCTTCGTAGCTCTGTTGTATCAATTTTTTCCTCATCCATAACATTTAATTCAAATGTTATATAGATGTGCCTTCAACTGTTGTGGCCCCAACTGAAAATTTCTACTATGAGAGTTGCTCAACTGGTGGCATCGCAGCTTCTTCAGAATCGAATGACTTCCCAATCCGTATGACTCTACGACTTCATATTTCTATACTAATGTGTAAACACTATTTACCATTTGTCAAAATACACCCTACTTGTATATTCCACTTACTATCATAATTCTAGGAATGCTTCCTTCATATGCCGACCATTTGAGCGATTCATTAAACCATCAGGCGAACCAATCTAATAACCAGATAACCACAACTTGTACCAAAAAGCGTCAATGTATGTTCCCACAACCGAAAACTTGACCTCTAATGTATTCTACAACATTTTTATCAATGCTTGAAGTGCTAACAATTATTGTTGTTGGTAGGCTGTGCACGAACACAGAGAAATGTAAATAGGATGCCTTTTCCTCTAACTTTCGCTTCTTGTCTTCCTCCAACATCTTCATGTAGATTTTGTGGTGTATCACTTTTTCCATACGAGCCTAAGGGATTATGTTGTTCATAGGGTCAAATACAACTTGCTTGCAACTAACCACCGCAAGACTTATATCACCTAATGACATCCAAAGATGAGGACAGTCAATATTTCCGTGCAAATATTCGAACATACAATTACTCCAGGTCAAATCTATCACTACATCAATAGTTTACAACCACCTGACAGCAGACCCAAATACCTCCAACTTTATTTCTATGACACTAAGCATGAATTGCAACATCGTTCGAAAAATGCACCACAATTGCATGTTGATATCATCGAGTCAATAATGCCCATTTTGTCAAAAAATCCCTATGCAAAATTCTTGCGTAGCTTAAAAGATGTTGAGATTGACGAGGAATGCAGTATTGCCATCCGAACAGATCATTGCCCAGATCAAAGAACCTACAATGCACCGTCAGCTTCACAAGTTGCAGCAATATGGGTTGAAGAAGAGTCCACCAACAATAAGACTCGGGACATTCTTGTACATAAAAAATCAAGTGGTAGCCAACAAGTTATGCATTACCTTGGCTACTATGACCTTCTTCCATACCCTCTATTATTTCCTTATGGTGAAACAGGATGGCACCATAGTGTGAAAAGAAAAGGAAAAAATATTCTGCTAGACAACACAGGCATTTCTGGGAACACATTAGAATTTTTAGCCTCAGAAAATGAAGGTAAAAAATCCTCTACTCATTAAAATTATATTATCGTTTCATTGAGGAAAAAAACCCAAAAGTTCAAAACCAACCTACATCCATTCTAACTACCTTTTTCCTCACAGCTTCACATGTTATTACGAGTGATGCATCAGGAATTTCATGTTACCAATTCTACTGCTATCTGCTACAAATTAGGCCTTCACAAATATCGACAATATTATTTTCAGGAAGGTTGCTACAACAATTTATTGTCGACATGTACATAAAAATTGAAAGCACTCGGATAGACTGCATACGAGCTAACCAAGACACTATTCGTGCCGACTTGTATCAAGGAATAGTCAACAGTGTAACAAGTGGTGAAACAAGAGCATCAAACATTGGTAAACGCATAGTCCTTCCAGCATCCTTTATTGGTGGCCCTCGAGATATGAAGCGAAGATATTTGGATGCTATGACATTAGTACAACGATATGGAAAGCCTGACATATTCCTAACAATGACATGCAACCTTTCTTGGCCTGAAATCAAAGCAGAGCTACATGAAACAGAATAAGCACAAAATCGACCAGATCTTATTGCTCGTGTATTCCGTGTCAAAATTATGGAACTAAAGAATGAGTTGGTCAAAAAGTAACTCTTCGGCCTTGTAGCAGCTTACACATATGTGATTGAATACCAAATACGTGGCCTTCCACATATCCATTTCTAGTTGGTTTTGAAATCTCATGCAAAGATTATCCACCCTGAAAAATATGACACATATATTTCTACCGAGATACCAAATAAAGATGACAACCCACATTTGTATAAGGCAGTTGTCAAGCATATGATGCATAGCCCTTGTGGTGTACTAAAGCCAACAAACCCTTGCATGACCAAAAAAGGCGAATGCAAGGACAAATACCCTCGAGAATTCTCATAAGTGACCAAGTGTGGTGAGAACTCTTACCCAATCTATAGGCGTCGAAACGACGACAAGTGTGTGAATGTTCGAGGTAGCCTTCTAGACAATAGATGGGTTGTCCCTTATAACTCGTACTTATTTGCAAAGTTCAATTGCCACATAAATGTTGAACTCTGTTCCACAATCAAAGTTGTAAAATATTTGTACAAATATGTATACAAGGGGCATGATCGTGTTTCTTTCCATTTGATTGCCAATGATGATGGCTCAATTATTAATGAGATTAGTGCATACCAATCCGCTCGTTGGATATCTCCACCTGAAGCTGCATGGCGTATTTACAAATTCACACTTAACGATATTTCCCCAGCAGTTTTAGCTCTCCATTTACACTTGCCAAACATGCAACTTGTAAATTTCAAGGAAGAAGATAATTTGCCAAGTGTTCTACAATCTGGGCGTACTTCTAGAACTATGCTCACTGAATATTTTGTGATGAACAAGGCAAACACATTTGCTAGGCAATGGTTATACTCTGAATTCCCTGAACATTATGTTTGGAATGTTCAAGATCGATATTGGAAACCACGTCAAAGAAGTGGGACAATTGGAAGGATTGTATCAGCCAACCCTACTGAAGGAGAACGATACTTCCTACATATACTTCTAACACACATAAGAGGAGCTACAAGTTTCATAAACCTACGTACTGTAGATGGGCAAATATGCTCCTCATTCAGATAAGCTGCTAAAAAATGATGTTTGCTTGAGAAAGACAATGCTACTGAAGAATGCCTTGCAGAAGCAAGTGTTTTCCAAATGCCTTTCGCGCTGAGGCGTCTGTTTGCAACACTATTAGTTTTCTGCGAACCTAATAATCCAAGATCATTGTGGGAGAAATTTTATGATGCTTTATCAGAAGACCATAGACAAAATCTACAACTCACAGCAGAACAAGTACAAAACATTACGCTTGATCATATTGCAAGTTTCATCGAATCAATGGGCAAGAAAATTCCAGGCTACAACCTCACAGCATGCAACAAAGCTTCCATCATACGAAACAAACCTACCAAGGAAATTGAGGCTGAACTACAAATCCCAATTTCAGAAGAAGACATACATATGAAAGTCCTCCTAAACAATGCACAGCGTGCTGCCTTCGATCTGATTATGCATCACATAAAGCAACACTTAGGAGGTGGATTTTTCATTGATGGCCCAGGAGGTACCGGTAAAACTTTCTTGTACCGAGCATTGCTAGCTGCTATACGCTCAGAAGGATCTATAGCTATAGCAACAGCTAGCACAGGAATAGCTGCAGCTAACCTACCTGGCGGTCGCACTGCACATTCTCACTTCAAAATACCTTTAGATATCAACAGTTCAACTGGCTGTAATGTTGGGAAACAAAACGCAGTTGCCACACTCATTCGAAAAACAAAATTAATCAGTTGGGATGAAGTGCCTATGGCAAAGAAACAAAATATTGAAGCTTTCGAAGCAATGTTACGTGATGTTTTCTCAAATAAGACCATCTTCACTGGAAAAGTTGCAGTGTTTGGTGGTGAATTCCGACAAGTTCCTCCGATTAGCCCTCGATCCACTCGTGAGGAATGCATTAACAACAGTTTGGTTGAATCAACACTTTGGCCTCATCTTCACATTCTTCGTCTAACAGAAAACATGCGAGCATTACATGATCCTCAATTTTCTAGTTTCTTATTAGACGTCGGCAATGGAACTTACAACAACATAGATGAGGACTTAATCACAATACCTGAATGCATGACTATTAACACAAAAGAGGGTTCAAATCCAATATTAACATTGGTTGAACACATCTATCCAGATTTCACTGAAAATGCATTCAAATCAAATTACTTGACATCTCGAGCCATCTTGACTCCTAAAAATGAATTCGTAGACGAAATCAACAAAGTCTTGATGAACCAATTCCCAAGAAGTTCATACACATACACTAGCTTTGACAAAGCAACAAATGACAAACAAGAAAACTACCCATAAGAATGCCTTCACAGTTTGATGCCTAATGGAATGTCTCCCCACCAACTACAACTCAAACAGTCTTGCCCAATAATGCTTCTCAGAAACATAGACCTTACTGCAGGAATGTGCAATGGTGTGCAATTAATATGCAAAGCTCTAAAACCTAACGTTATCCACGCTGAAATGGCAACTGGCCATTATCAGGGCAACTCAGTTTTGATCCCCAGGATTCCACTTGAACCAGCCAAAACAGATAACTACCCTTTCCCATTTCAACGCAAACAATTTCCAGTTCGACCTTGTTTTGCAATGACCATCAACAAGGCTCAAGGACAAACCTTAGAGCAAGTTGGCATTTACCTTCTACAACCTGTGTTCTCCCATGGACAATTATACCTCGCACTTTCAAGAGCACAACAATCATCTGCTGTAAAAGTCCTCATAAAACCAGCCAAGCAATCAAAACACATGTCTAACATGACACAAAGTGTTGTCTACAAAGATTTTATCAAAAAAACATCACAGGTAAAACCAACAAACTCTAGAAGAATTTCACAATCTACACTAAATGCAACATGTCCTCCAACATAAACAAATCCATATATACTTGCACCCAAAGTCAATAACACACCAATCAAATTAAGAATATATCACAATATGTAGCACATCCATGTAGACATGCACACTGATTCACTTATACCCATGTTTGCATTTGCAGGAACAATGGAAGAGAAAGCTATAATGATTCGTGAGTTATCTAACAAATCACGCTAATGGAAAGCGAAACTCCGTGTCATTCAAAAACAGCCCCCTCGTACAAGCAAGCTTGGGACAACTACTATCCAACAATTCATCCTAGCAGACAGTGAGGTATATTCAATACACTACTAATAACATATTACATTATCCTACTTTTAGCAATGAAAAAAAAAATCTCACATACACACACACACTAAATATAGAACCCAAATACTCATTATAACTAATATTATGCCATATTAGGGCTGGCGAATGTATGTTTTGATGATAGCATCCCCATGTTTGATGGCCTACTCCATGTATACAAGACATACTATTTTTCAAATTGCATCGTCAAATACATTGACCCTCGAAATAGAATCGTTGACAACACAATTCAAATTATGCTAAACTCTCAGATATCAATTGAAGAAACTGAAACAACAGAAGAAACAAATGCATCAGAAACATACTTTTTCATCCTGCTAGCAGATGCATCCAACTACATTACAACAAATATCAAATTTGGTAAATTCATATGCATACCACAACTAATAGTAGCACAATTACGCTTTTAATTACCTACCATTCACATTTATGTTACATGCCCAACAGATATTGCTACTATTGCAACCAATGTTCTGCCGACAAGAACAATCACAAAGCGAATCGATGGACAACCAGCTAAAGTTAGAGAAATCTTTCTCATCGATCAATCGTTAGTTGCTTACCAATTTCCATAGATATCCTACATATTATATTAACATAATAGCTATTTCGAAGTTCAAATTAACAAGTACATAAATTTATTAATAACACACATTCAAATGTCTCTATCAACAGCAATCAACCTATGAAGCTTTCAGCATGGGATGACTTCACCACAAATGAATGTGAACACATAAGCTCCATCATTGCTGAAAAGCCTACATTTGTTGCTACAAACCTAGAGCAACTACATTCAATGGTAAGTTAACATACCCATTCCTCTAACAGAAAATACCACATAATTGTCCTATATTTTCCATTATCAAATACCTACAAGAATAAAATTATGCTTACACTTTAAACTGCAATTACAGGATGCTCTTTATCAACTACTCCAACAACTGAATTCATCTTCAATGCCAACATACCTGAAATACAACCGTTACGTGACTGGTATAAATCATAAACATTATATTCACTTTAAGGCCTTCACATCTAACTCGTACTAATAGCTTCTTCATTACATTAATGCAGGCAAATAGCAAACCCATAAAAAATTTAAGAACTTGCAAATTCAAAACACATGTTTCTATTATCGTCTCCAACTTCATCTTCAGAAACGTTTGAAGTTGTACCCATCAACGATTTGTCGTCGCATGAAGTATTTACCTTCTTATTCGTTTTCTTAATTGAAGACTATTACATCGATATATATATATATACATACTTGCATTCACATATTACTCTCTTTAAAAACAGGGCAACATATGGATAAAAGGCAAAATAACAGCATAGCTAATAACACAACGTCCATGGTATGTTGCTTGTAACAAATGTAATCGCAGTACAATGGAGGACATTGGCACCTCATTTACTTGTATTGAATGCAACACAGAACAATCTACAGCAACAGCCAGGTACAAAACATATAATTTGTTACAACTAAAGTACATTTACTAAAATGTAATTACATTCTCTTACATTCTCTTATTGGCTTCATGATAATTTCCTGTATTACATTCTCTTACATCCTATTATATCCATCTTAACTGCCTACAGATCTATCCTCCGAGTTCAAATCAAGGACAACAGTGGTAGCTTCCAAATAGCTATTTTTGGACCACATGCAGAGAAGCTGGTGGTCCATTCAGCAGATGCATTGGTCCAATTAAACCTCAAGGCAAGTAGCTCCTTACTATTTAAAATTAAGGTTTAAATTAAAGCATGTCAACAATTATTTAATATGCATAGACTCTTCAACTGTAGGAACGCATGCAGAAAATAGCTGACATGAACATGGCTTCAAAGTAAAAAGAATATTACTTTCATCTCGCTCCCACCAAAAATGCAAGTTCAACATGGGCAAACGACTGTCCGACAAGTAGAAGATGTATAAATTCCCTTGTGTAATATAATATACTATTAGTAGATCTAGATATATATATATATATATATTAGCATATCTATCTATATATCCATATACTTCACTAAAACTTAATAGTTAGCTTACACTTTTTGCATAACATATAAACAACCTTAGTATGTAATAACTTCCACGGTTTGGACAACATATAAATAGCTACCATAGTATAAGATTATGCTTGCTAGCTTTTGGATACTACATATAGTACTTATTTAGTCTTGCATTCAATATCTATTTTTGTTCGATGGAATTCAGAGTTGTCGTACCCACAAAGAGTACTACTCTATATATACTAAAACACTCTCTCTCTCTCTCTCTCTCTCTTTCTCTCTCTCTCTCTCTCTATTAATAATCGACTGAAAAATGATTTGTTTGTTGTGCTACTCTATGTATTTTTTTATTTTGGGATAGAAAAGAATGAATCCCATTGTGAGGTACACAATGATATTGTTTATACATTAGCTTTAGTCCTCATTGTGAGATATACAACCTTCTATTTTTCCTCACATGTTTTATATTATGTTGCAGTAGACTTTTCATCCTTTCATTTTCAAGGAAAAAAAAAAAATTTCTGCACAACTGTAAATTGGTGCAGGGTTCTGGCATTATGGAATTGTGAGTATAGTTAGGATTATTACAGTTATGTGCTTTCATGGTTGACACTGGTTTTCTGTCTAAAATTACACAATAAATTAGTACACTCATTAGAACATCCAAGAAAAATAAAAGTCATCAACCTTGTGTTTGCTTCATTTCCAACTCTCTCCTTGCGGATTTGGGATTGCACACGTTCATCTAACCCAAACCCATTGCCATACACTTTGAATATAATTTCAGCTTTAAGTACACTACAAGAAAATATACTTTTGGCGACTAAAAAATTAGTCGCCAAAAGTATTAAATTTCGTCGCCGAAACACATTGCCGACTAAATAATTTGGTCGCTGGCTTTGTCGGGGATGCATAGTCGCCGAAGGAATTAGCGACTAAAATACATTTAGTCGCCATAAGTAGTACAAAATACCGACTAACCTTTTAGTAGGCAAAAATAATAGGTATTAGCGACTAAAATTGGTTTGGTCGCCAATTTTAGTCGCCAAACATGCATTTTCTTGTAGTGGTGGTACATAGCTTGATATGTATAGTTTTTCTCATTTTCTAACAATTTAAATATTTTAAATAAGTTGTCGTTTAACATAATATTGGAGACTATGTTTGGCAAGTCTTGGATTTAATGTACTCTATTTGCATTATTTCTTCTCTTGTTTTAATTTAATAAACCATCATTTTCCTATTTGTATTATCATTTTTTTAATCCCACCTTTTCCTCTGTTCGTTGGATTTGATTTTGAATAATTAAAAAATCTTAGTTGTGTTATACCACCAGATTTCATTTCTAGAGGAGATGACAAAGCTAGATAACCATTGTCCCACAACCATGTATCATAAGGTTTTGGGGAATAACAAGGAATAGAGTGTCAATTAACAATTCTTTTTCCATTTCACACAAATATTACTATGTATAAGCCCTCATTAATCATAATTGTTAACCAAACCTCAATAAAAAATTAATCAGCGAAAATAATATTATCATTAATTAATTGCTAGAACATCTTTGTTTCAAGTGTGACATGAAAGTGAATTGATTTAGATATTTTTAAAGATTCTGGTCATTGTTCTTTACTACACTTAGTAAATAGTATTACTCAACTTAGGACATAATAAGTGTTTGCGTTTGAATTATGTTTTATACGGAAAATCATATTTACCTATCATTTTTTTTAAGATACAAATATAATTTGATAAAATTATTTTATATATCACTCAGTTCTTGATGTTTTTTTAGGCATAATTTACTCAGTGTACTCTAAAAAGTAAATGATTCAAATTATCAAATCCAGAGTCAGAATGAGTTCCATTTGATGAACAACGGTAACTTCTATGGCACATTGATTTGTAGTTGTTTCTTAACAAGAATATTGGCTGTTAAATTTCAGGTTAAATACAATAATTGAATATTTGTGAACTAAGAGACATTAACAGAATAATTCAACATGAAATAAAAACGGAGAACTAATTTTCTATTCACTAGATTTGGGCCTCAACTCTCAGATCCATCAATTTCACATTTTTCCCACACACAAACACAA